TATAACTTTCTATTCTATTCTGCTAAGGAAGTCCTTCTATTGGTCTTATCACTGTACTATCTGAGTACATTTCTGAATTGTGTTCCATTCTTGTCCTGTTCCCTCAAAAGAAATGATCTGTGCTGAAGTGTTTTGTTTGGGGAAGGATTTGTTTATCTCAGATTTGTGTTATCTTGGAAAAAGGTGTTTGTACTTTCAGGTTCTGCACTTACATTGGAAACTATAGAGATCTGTCATTCCACAGATTAGGTCTCTCCCCAGGATTACAGGAGGAAGTGTTTATGGTCACAGCCTTTGCTTTCAAGTTTATGTCCCAAGCATTGATCTAATTGCCAACTTTTAGAATTGCCTTCAACATTGCACGTAACTTATTCTCATCCCCCTCATCTTATTTTTCTAAGAGCAGGAATAAATCTCACCAAAACACCCTGTGGTGTTTTTTGTCCACCTATGGACACAAATATAGCCAACTTCATACATCATCAAATACTTCTCTATGGGCAGAGACTCCTTTCTTTTGAAAAGGTTATAAAACCAACTTGAGCCTGAATACAGACTGAAGGTTTCACAGAGAGTCCTTCCTCTTGAGCAGCAGGCAGAGAGCTGCTTCCACCTTCCTGACCATATTATTCCATGTATTAACACCGCCAACATCACCCCCTTCTCTCCTGGTGTGATCTGCCCATTATACACAGACTGGAAGTGGGTCAAGGACACATTGAAGAATTATAAGTACAATCAATGTTTGAGTCAAAAACCCAGAGTACTACTGCATAAAGAAGTCATTTGGCACAGTAAGTTACAGTCAATATATAAACAAATAAATAAAGTGCCTAAGTAGGTAGCAGAATTTCATGATTTAGTGCAGACAGGCCATGAGCAGAGGGTGAATTTCTAATTAAGACAGAATTGCTATGGTAACCAGAGGTGGTCACAGATAATTGGGTGTGAAACCCCACGAGGCTTCATGACAGAGGTGTCTGCATATATTATCCAGCACAGTTTCTGTTTCTTAAATAGAATTACATTGTCAGGTCAGACAATATTTTTCATATTTTATGTGCCTTCTTTCTGAGCAACCAAAAGTGACACTCGTAAGAGGTCTCTGTTCTTTAAATGTTACCAGAACAGTGGACGTGCAAAGATAAACTTGAAGTGAGGATTCTCAGCCCTTACTTATTCTCAGTTGTGGGTCAAGAACAGAGACAGATGTTTCCTAACCCGACTGAATGGGACAGAGAAGGAAGATAATTCCCTGTGTTGGTGAGGCAGAGCAATCAGGGACAAAGGTAACAGTGCTCCTCCAAATGGGACTGTGCACACTGCCCAGCTCCAGGACAGCACTGACTTGATATTATATTGTCTTAGTTAAAACAGGTACTGTTTAAAGTTGGTATTTCTTTTATCACAATTCGTGGGAGAGAGCAAAGGGATAATCTCAGAGACTGAGTTAATCTGTTATTGGAGCAGAGGGGATGCATAACACACACTACATCATCACAGTTACACCCGCAGTAGCAACCAACCAGGATTAAAAAAATTACTTAAATTTATGAAAATTATTTACCAACTTAAGCACCTCCTATTAGAGTTTTGAGTGTTATCTTAACTAATTAGATATTCATTATCTATGTAATGAATCATATATTAGCTGTTTAATGAATCCTAATGAAGATTAAAGGAAAATCTCATTATTTCAAATTGTTGTTCTGGCACAAGATTTCTAAGATTTGTATTAAAATCCTTCCTTGAACACATGGATACGAATGAAAGGTCAGATCTTTGCTTTGCAAATCCCCATTTCTCTGCACCAGCTGCATTTAAAGGGCACACAGCTACTTCAGTGCATGCAATATTCCTCTAATTTGGAGGAACCTTGTGAAGTCTCAGGGTGGATTCAGAAATCGGGAGGATAAATAGATCAACTCCTGCAGACTTCCACTACTACTGCAACTGAGAGAGGCTTTGAAATGCAATTCTGTTGACACTTTCTTCAGGATCTTAAATTGCCCTTTTTTAATTTACCTTATATTGGTGGCAGTTCTCAAGGTGCATCGCATTTGACAGTCAATTAACAAGGTCCGACAACACATTTTCATGTCCCTGTTACCTATAAAACAAGAACAGAGCTGTTCTGCATCTTTAAACGAGGCAGTAGGCTGGCACTGTCTCTGCGCACACCTGCAGAGGCTGCTCACCCTCTCTAAGGTGCTCTGTGTGAAGGCAGGGGGGCATCAGGGCCCTGGGGGGGCACAGCCCACAGCACATCACAGGCAGCCACTCCAGCCGTGTTCTGCTGTTCCTGCACACCCAGACTGCCCAGGAATTCCATCTCAGCAGGAGTTCTGCATGCAGCAGCATGGTCAAAGACATTTTCAGTCCCCAAGGAAAAGCAGAACCCCATAGTTTACCTCTGTCATGCAGGGAGGAGAACCCTGCATCAAGTACAGTAGTTGCCAGCAGATGTTATTTGTTAATTACTGATGTATCCAAAGGGTGCTGTGGCTTGACAGACTCCATAACAGATACATTACCCACTTCGTTGTATCTCATCATGGAACATATGGTGGCAGTTTGATGTAGTACAATTTTAAACATTTTTTTAATGTATTCCTACGTTGAATTTCTCACTCACTTTTTCTGTTGTTTCTTGCTGGGTCAGAATGTGTACTTCCTTTTATTTTCTTTTTTACTAGTATCCAATTACCCTCTATTTTCCAATACAGTAGAACTGCTCAGAGGTACTGATGTATCTTATCTGCCAATTCACACTCTTTTTCCACCTTTAAAAAACGTCAACCAGATGGTTTCCAAAAATGCCAATAATATCTAATATATTGTTTGAAATTAAAGTATCACTGCAAAATGCCTCTCATCTGATTAACTGCTTGAAGCCATATGTATCACTTTGGATGCACAAAGAACCGTGTGTTCCATCACTGTATTAAACAAAAGCCTACTGAGAATCTGAGCTCCTTCAAGATAAATCTGAGGGAAGCTCAGTTCTGTGCTACAAAGTATTAGTGTGTATCTAAAGCTCAGATCTGAAAAGCAGATCCTTCAAACTGTTCAGCAGCTCAAATACCACCGCACAGAGGACATTTTTTTTTGTATTTAATCTGGCAATTAAGAAATAGACTTGCTTATGTACATCAATGGAGACAAAGTATATCTTTCTAATGACAGATGGCTCAGGTGTTACCTGCTTTGACTTAGCTAAAATGTTACTTAACTATATTAAATGACATTTCATTTCCTACTTCTCTGTAAGCCCACATTCCCACTTTGGAAGGGAGCTGGGGATCTCCACTGCTGAAAATTTTCTTAGGAACAGCCTGGCCAGCAGGAGCAGGGCAGTCACAGTCCCCATGGACTCGGCACTGGTGAGGCCACACCTCGAGTCCTGTGTCCCGTTTTGGGCCCTCACTAAACAATTCGATGATGCCATATAAAATTGGGAATGTTAATGATCAGAATTTAATTTCCTGCTAGAAACTGAGAAGTAGAAACTGTCACTGAAATTGAGACATGTGCAAATGACTTAGTTCATGAATGAATTAGCACTTGATTAAAAAAACAGGGAATAAAGTGAAGAAAAAGCAAAATAATTATAAAAATTAGGTATTTTAAAATTATTATTAACCTGATTAAATCTTTTCTTGCTACATTTGCTTAACCTGTAAATATTTTTCACAGAGTGAAGCTATAGAATATGAGTGTGAAATTTATTTTAAAATAGCAATAATTCCCAAAGAAAGGCCTTGTATTTGACAGCTCTGGCAGATGTTAGTTGGAATCGTTAAAAAGAGGCTTATGTCATGCAAAGTTGATGACATAGAACTCACAGTGAGTAAAGTGAAGCTTTTATGTACCTCATCTGTTTTTGAACAACACATAGCACCAGGAATAAGAAAAATTATGAAAATATTCTTAGAAGGAAGATCAAGTAGTTGAAGTCAGAGCTGTAGCACTATGCAAGGATGAATCTGCCATACACAGGAATTCTAGAAAACTGGGGAAGGGCAGGTCTTAGGGATCCAGCAGAGACTCCAAAAATATCACAAGCTCAAAGCAAGAAGGTGTAAAGAGCAAATGTCCAAGGACACAAAGAGCCTGTGATGCTGCACACAGAGTGGGCAAGCACAGGGCACTGCAGGCCTGGCATTTGGAACAAAGAGCAAGAAGGGCAGAGCCTCACCCAGAGCACAACAGTTTGCTCAGCAGAAAGATCTAAAGGTGCAACTAATGAGGGGCCTACACGAATGAAACAATTACAATGAGTAGGGATATAAGTCTTTCCAAATAAAGACATATTATTCAGCAATGACAAATGCAGTGTACTGGATAAGGTGCATGCACTTGCTGAGCAACTTTAAAATATTAGGGAATCAAGAAATGTTGAAAATGGTATGGATACTGTTGAATTGGAAATAAAGTTATCAACATGGTACTTAGAAACCTCACATAATAAAAGCCTGCTGTTACAATGCTGGGTGAAAAAAGGCAGGAAAAATTCTGAAAATAAGCATGACAAACACACACATGCCACACGTCGTTTTCTAGAACAAAATCAAGCATGACTTGCAATATATCAAAATGTCAGGTATGTATTTTAATTTGGGGAACACAGTAAGTTCACTCACAATACTTAAAAGGTCATTCAGAAAGACTGGAGTGCAGTAGCAAAAATCTTACCTTAAACACTATCTTAAAAATATCTTTGCTCTTTCTTCCGGCAGATCGTTGTACAAAGATTTTTCCTTACTTCCTTAAAATTCCAAGGGTGGGGGGAAAAGCAGTAAATCCTGCAGAGGTCTTTTCTGAAAAGAAAACCTTTAAACTCATGTAGAAATGTCAAGTTGTTACAACTCCCCAAATGCAACATGACTATTTGTGGTATAGAAATGCATTGAAAAAAATGAACACAAATCAAAGAAGCAAATACAAACCAGCTGAATAGAACAAATAAGGTGTAAACAAACTCCACTTCAAACAAAAAATGATGTTATTTTTTATTTTCTTCTTGGTAAAGTAGCATATTTTAACCAGATTACAATAAAATTACCACAGGATATTTAATAATAATAATAAAAAAAAAAGAAAGTATTTAGAAAATTTTATATATACACATTTGCTTAAAAATTCTATAATGTAAACATTAGCATAACGAGTTAAAATAATATTAGTTTATTAATACTTATGTGAATACTGTACATATATATGCTTAAGAATTAATACTATATTTTCTACAGTTTAACAGGAAGAACAAAAAAAAACTCCCTCCCCAAGTGAAAAGGGAAATCCAGCTTCTTCAGTTGCCAACAGGTTTTGTTCCATACATAAGACACTTATTTATCTCAGTGTCAAGTGAGAAAGAAAGCACAGCCTTTCAGAACTGTATTTTCAACCACACTTACAGTTTGATAATTTTTAGTGTCTTAAATGATTAATAAGAAAACCACTCATCACAATTTAACTACTGCCAGGGCATGGAGATAATTTCTGAAATCTTGTTAAAGGAACTGATTCCCCTACGTGGAAGTGCAACAAACTTGTTTTGATGCAATAAAAAACAATCTTGGGTTTTTTTTAAGTCCAGATGTTTGCAGAAATTTGTAAATCTGGAACATTCATTCCTCTCTAAACATTTCAGTGCTGTTGTCCAGTATAAATTCATGCCATTATGAACCAAAAACTAAGCCATTATTATTGTTTAGAAGTATGCTCTGATTATTTTTGTTAAAGAAATTTTACAAATAATCTAAGTTCTCTATAACTGGACCATAAAAGCACAGTTAGTGCAGAATAAGAAATAAATTCAATGTACAGTGTCAGACCACTGTGTAGAACAAGTGTTTTATCTTCCATTCAATATGTGAAACACGAAGCAGGTTAACTGGTATTTTTAAACATATTCTATATTTCATATAGATAATTTCATACAGTGAAGTGTTTCTTTGCATACAAAATGCTAAGAAACTACTGAAATGACAAAATCATCATCAAGTGAATATTCCATGTGGAGCAGGGTGCTGACTCAAACACCCTCACCTATAGAAAGTGAAGGAGAGAAATTCTTTCCTTTCTTGAGCTGTTAAATCACTTTTCTAGAAGTGACTCAAGATCCAACACAGAAGTATTATTGTTTCCAAGGAGAAAGTTGTATTCTCATGTTAAATAGGTTTCTTTCCATATATCCTAGAGTTCCAGCTGGAAGAGCCCAGTGCTGTTCCCAAGATTTGCAAGGGTGTAGAGCAGCACAATTTGGTCAAGAAGCACTTTTTTTCTTTCTTTTAACCAGCTGTTCCACAGGTTTCTCACTGTAATTTCAAGCAAGTAACTGTATTTTTATCCACAGGTATATATTATCTGTGCTCAGAATTCCGAGGCATTAGATGAAAAATGTTTTGGAGTGGCAGGGTGGAACCTTGGGAACAGCATGGAACTTGGAGCAGCACTGAGATCCCTGCTTTCTCTGGAGGAAAAGGAATGACATCCATATGTGAAAGCACCAATAACTGATTCTGGTAACAAAAGATCATATTCTTAACCCATTAATATATCCTGACAGAAGCATCATTAGTTCACTGGGGGTTCACCAAGTCTCATTTATTATTAGCTGGCTGCTCTGAGTCAGTCAACCCCATTTGTTAGTAGGATCCTATTAATTAATTTGACAGCTACCATGCAGATATTGTTCTATATAATAAAACATGACTTTGTAACAAAAAAAAATAAAAAGCACCTTAGCAATAGGTCAGAATTTTGAGCCAGTAATCTTTATTACCATTATGTTCTTTCTCTAAATACTTGTATTAATCCAATCTCAATGGTTTATGACTTGCAGTAAATTCTGCAAGGTATTATAATTTGATTACAACTATCACATCAACAATATATTCCATAAAAAAGACTGGCTTTGAAATTATTATCTTCCTAAGAATATATGACTTAATGGACATATCAATTTAAGCCTTTATAACTATGCCAATATCCTGCCTCATATAAACCTTGGAAATTTATTATTATTATTTTTATTATTGAGAACTTTGATTTAATTTGCAAAAGCCAAGTCGACACAATGCTATAATGAATGACAGAATCTCTAAATAAATGAGATTCTGAAAAACCACACTCAGTCTGTGATGAATACTGATAGACACATCTGCAAAAGCTGGAACAGCTTTGCCTGCTCTGTGTTTCTCAGGAAAACGTTCATTTTCCATGTGATTGGACAACAGCATTACAGTAAAAGTTGTGCCACTTTTTTACAGTTTATTTTCAATAGTCACTGATGAGAAGCCCTGGAGACCTAATACATCTAAAGATGAAGCAGGAATGAAATGCAAATGATACCACAAATTCCTCTCCACTGCCTCGTGCCAGGCCACAGCCCAGGGCCCACACTCTGTCCTGGAATTACAGCACCAACAGGAATGGTCCAACCCATCAACTCACTGAGCACATACAGGGGTTTCAGAGCTCTGAGCCAGTGCCAAAGGAAGTTGGACCTGGACAAAAATTGTAACCATGAGCATGAAATTAGGTGACACAGGATAAACTGATCAAATCATTCAAGTGATGGAATAATTGTTACACTTACAGATATTTTATTAGAATAACAGAAGTCCTTGGCATTCTTAATCCCAGCTGGTCAACCTTCTTAACAGACTTTGCTGATTCTGGTGAATTATCAGAAGTGGGATTTGCAACAGATTCTAAGAGCATGTTAGAATGTCTTGAGGTGCTAAAAATTTGGGCATTCCTGTCACTAGGCACCTACTTGCAGTCGTACAGGTTCCTCACTGATCTTCAAAATAACCAGGGCTATGAAGTGAGAAAGCTACCTTGTGAAGAAAGGCTTTCATTTGATTATTTTCTGGGATTTTAGAGAAATCACAGCTGAGCTTTTAAATGGATTAGTAATGCCCCCATTACAGTATCTTGTATCACCAAGTGAACATTGTTTGCAGACTGTAATCTTGGGAGCTGATACACAGTTCAGCCACAGTTAACAAAGAGCAATTTGTACATGGTAAACAAGTTCAGTATTTTTATGTGATCTACATACATACATTAAAATTACAAGAAGCAAGACAATCAGGGATGAAATAATTTTAAGAGCCAAATGCAGATACAAACAATTCCTTTCAAACAACTAAAAAAAATTCAGTCTGTGCTAAATGAGATTTCTTATCATTTTCAGCTTTCTGAATAAGAAGTATTTGAATCTGAGAATTACTTCCTGAAAATTAATATATCTCCATGTGACAGACACATCACAAAGGTTACCACACAGTGTTTTCTTTCAGATTTACTTGCAATTCAGTGTTAATAGATGTATGCCATGTTTCTATTAACCAAGTCTACACTTTCTGAAAAATAGAATTGTTTCAAAGTGGGATCATCATTAAAGCTACTTCTCTTTCCAACAAACTAAACCAGCAGCAGTGCATCAGACAAAAGTCTGGAGAAGCTACTTAACTGACAAACTACTCACTTTGCCTTCTTCTCAAATAAGTGTCCCACTGTAACTTACACAAAACACCAACAGTAATTCATCTGTTAATGAAAAGAAACGCACTTGTTCTCAGGCTGCCCTTTGGGCTTTGTTATTTATCTGTTTTGGGACTCTCACTGACTGAAAAATCTTGTTTCATTTCTGTGACATGATTTTACTTTGTGGTATTTCACCTACGGAAATTTCTGACCTGAGGAGTGAATTCCACTCCTCTCTGCCACGGTTTGCTATCCAGTGCAATCTGAGAGCTACATATTTCAGTGGTAGGAAGCCAGCACTTGGGGTCATACTCAGGCACTGATGCTCCTCACTGTGTGTAACAAACCCCCACTCACCCAGGAAGTGCCACCAAAAATGACTGGACCACTCACTTGCCTGAACAACACACAGTGGTCACAGGTTTGCAGGACACAAGTTCCAGTTTGCTAGAACTTTAGTAAATCAGTGAGGTAAAAAAACCCTGTCATTAATCATCAGCTTGGTTTTTTTTCTGGAGAATGATATAAGGTTTTAGTATCTACTGACGTGAGAATTTAATATAATGAATGGATAATAAAATGACAAGATACATCAATTTAAGTAACATTATCCAAAAAAACTTCTGAGAAGAAAGATATTCTTACACAAAGGAAAACCAGAATACAATTAATGGAAAATTTGAACGTATACTGCTTAAACTTAATGAAGAGAAGAAGATAGCTAAAACATAATTAACTGCCTACGGCAGTGCAACTAATGGATACTGAACTGGATTCCAGTTAATCCATGTCAGGACTTCCATCACTTGTAATAATTCTTGTCAATATTTTAGTCACTCTTACAGTAGTAGCATTACAAATTACTTTTCAATAAGAGGTGATGGGTAACAGGCACTTTCATTACAGGCAATTTTTAAGTATCACTGTGTGAAGGGTTTTACAAAATCAGATTAATGATGGACTATTCTGTAACATCAGCAACAAACTGATAACAAAATATAACCCAAGACTTGAAAGCACTATTTTGCACCATGCTAATTTTGTGTATCCTTGCAGTGGTTTGTAAAAATTAATAATATTGCATCTGCCTTCCAGCAGGACTGAAATTTTACTAAAAAATTATTACATTCTCTGATTTTAAAGAATACTTCCCACAAATGAAAGCTATTGAGAATATCTAACTAGAAATGTACAAAAGCTATTTTTCCACCTGTAATGTTTTTCTCATCATCTACATTGTCAAGTTTTTTTAAAAACCTTTGCGTGTCAGAGGTTTACAATAAAAAAAAAACCAAAACAACCCAGTCTTTCTATTTACAAAAGGTAATAAATTAGTGAGGTTCTTTTAAGCACATCCTTCTGACATATTAAGTAGTGCTAATCAAAACCGTTCTCCTAAGGAAAAAAAAAATTGTCTTGACAGGATACCCATGTCTCTCTGGAACAGAAAAATGTACATGTTAAAAGGGAGACAACATAATACAAACAAGGAATTCATTGTAAAAGAAGGACTTCAGGGGAACAAAGGAGAATATGTGCAGTGCAGCTTTACAAAACAAAGAAAATGCCATCAGTTTGCTGAGCTCTGGTGAAGAGCTCTCATATTCTTTTGAGAAAGTGATTACTGCCTTCCAAAGTAGTTAATCAGGATATGACCCTTGGCAATGAATGTCTCTTTTCAGGATTTAAGTTGATGCAGCTGTAGTCTCTTCAGGAGCTTAAATTATAAATATAGGCTAGGAAGGAATCACAGAACAACTTAAAGTACGTGGTGCCCGTGTTCACAATTAGGAAAAAGGGTCAGAGATCCCCACTCTGGGGTTCCAGGCTCCGGGGCTCCCTTTGGTGGCTGCGGGACAGTTTGGGGAAGCGCGGGGTCACCCTCGAGCGATTGCCTTTGCTCACTGGCTCTCCAGAAGGTGGAATATCACTAGGGAGACAAAACATAAAGACACAAGTAGCTAATTTACGTTACATGTAAATTATTCTGTGGTTATTTCCAACATGAAAAAAGCAGATGTTATGAGAGCCTGGCACATGACTGCAAAGTACGGCACACATCTCCAACATCACGGAATTGCATTCTTTCTACTGGTATCTCAAGTGTGAATCACAAAATGGGCTCTTTCAGAAATGAGAACTAGTAGAACTTCCAATACTTCATGGAAGATTGCAAATTACAGGATAAAAGCGTATCTCCATGAGCTGCAGTTCAGAAATGGCGGGAAAAGCATTTTGAAGTGATAAAAGTACAAGCAAAATAGACAAGAGCTTGGATGATGCTCAATTAACAATCCTCTAATTATGGATGGATGTATCATTACATGATGAAGTACATTAGTAATACATCCCTGTTGGGAATTCTTCAGTCTCTTCTGACCCACAACAGACTACAGTCTTACATGAATGAGCCTTTTGGAAAAGACTCAGAGAAGAACATCAACTTCAAAAACAAGCAGTAACAGAAAATTCCAGCTTACCTAGGTGACATTCAGGCTATAGACTCCTCGGAAAACTACAGTATAAAGGGATAGCATTGTACTTTTGCCATTCTTTTAGAAGTCTCCACATGGTTTTTAATTAAACTGCTTACATACAGATCAATAAATAAAACTGGTTTGCATTTAGCAACTCAGCTAGGCAATCAAATCACACAGCACACAAAGCCAAGCTTATTTTTACAAGTTAAAAACCCCAACCTTATAATACCTATCCTCAAAACATGGTAAAAAGTCCACAGGGGAGGAATTGCTCATCTGCAGTTCTGGCCATCTTAAACAAATAGAGATATATTTTAAAACAATCCCTGAATTTCTCTGTGCAGTTCCCTTTTTCCTGCAGTGACCTTCCTGACACACAGGTCAGACAGCCCTGCCAAAGCCACCGGCACACTCAGGCTCTTCTGAGCTGTTCTGAGGACCCACGTGGGAGAGATGGTACCAAAGCAAAAGCCTTTAAAAAGTCCTGGGTCCGAGTGGAAAATTCACTTGCAGGTAGCAGAGCACTTCTGCAGGAAAGGGCAGCTGCCTCACTGGTAGCCATCACCTTTGTAACTACAGTGCACACAAACTGGCTGTTCCCATAGAAATCAGAGGGAAAAAACACTGTGGAAAAATTATGTTCAATTCAGATGCTAAACGTTAACAGAAAAAAAAGTGTTAAGTCTTTTTAATGGAAATGCATTATTTAACTTGTCTAAATTTCTAAGCAGAAAACTCTAAAAGAGTCTCAGCTAAAATAATAAATGATTTTCCTACCTCAAGATGCATCACATTCCTATTATAGTATTTAGTCTTTCAAGGTAACCAAGAACCTTTATGTGAAAAAAATGCATAAAATACCTGTGGTACACATCCATCTCTTCTTCAGTAACAAAATTAACAAGTTATATCTTTAATTCCTTATTTTTCTTGTCACTAAAATAAAAAGCCTAAAAATTAATTTAGCATATGTTATTAATTCTTGGTACCCAAGGATAATCAGACTTACAACTGTGGCCCCATGATTTCTTATTTTGAAACTCAGCAATGTTATCTAAGTTGCTGTAGAGAATTCTGATCATGTGAATCCAATTTCAGCTGGGCTCATTATCATGGATTTCTTTTAGTAACATGAATATTATTACTCATAATTTTTATACTATTTATAAAATTGAGCAATGCAGTGTTGATACTCTTAATGCTTGTAAAACAGAGCATGGGATATTGGCTTCAGGGAGTTGTGCTTTTGTGTTAAGATACGTATTTTTCAGAACATGTAAACATAAAATAACCTAAATATCAATTATACAATGGAATAAAATCAAATAAAATTAAATTTTCACCTCATTGAGCTTCGCTCAATCTGAAATAGGTTCATGAGCTTTATGAGCAGACAGACAAATTTACAGGTACATGATAGTTTCCACTGCAGAAGAGAGCACAGAGTTATATGCAATTACTATAATTTGGTGATTGCTTTATTGAAAGCACATTTCAATCCACAAGCTCCTCCTGCTGGCATGTCCTCAAAACGACATTAGTGCCAGCCCATGGGGAGCAATGCCATCCAAAGGAAAAAGGGCAAAAGGGGCAAGAGGAATCCCTCTAAAATGAAGAGAGATGAATTAATATCAGTGTGCCCTGACAGGCATGGCTGAGGTAACCAGATCATTCAGGATAATTCCATGAACAGCAGCATCTGGGAACGAAGGACAGACATTGCAAGTAATTCTGCTAATTTAAATGATGCTACTCCAGAACAAGATATAACTAAATTAGAGATAATTTGTCTTAAATGTCTTAGCTAATTTTTATAATGACAATTCAAATTCTAAGACAAATCATTATGTTATGTAGGTTTACAGAAAGCAACATATATCTGAGGAATCGGGTCTTCATGCATCCAGCATGAAAAAGCAAACTGAAGCTGAAATTGAATTCCTCAACTTCCACAGACCAGATGTTCTATGGGGAAAAAAGTTTAAAGTATTAAAAAAGAGTCATAAATTTAAAAGTATATATCTTTTAGTCCCTTTCCATCTGTCCTTTTCCAAAACCTGATGAGGAAACCAGCCATCTCACTTTGGTTTCAGCTCCAGCTTTCTTACCAAAATGACCACCCACTCCCAAAACACATGGTAATCAAGTAGGAGGAAAAGATTCATCTCCCATCTCTTGTCTCCTGTTACTAGATTTAATAATTTAGTTTGGCCTTGAGGTCAAATGATACCTATAAAGTCTCTGGCACTAAAAAAGACACCTTTCTAAATGACATGACAGTTCAACAGGTCAGACAGGCCATGAACTCTTGGGCAGAGGTATGAAGACCTTAAAATGATCCTGTCAGTATTTCTGGCAAGTGCACATAAAGATGAAATTCAGACATATCTATTTTAGCCACCCTGTGTTTAGGAGGGAGGAATAAGCCACACCTATGTGCAGTGTTTGCAAACCCTCTCATTTGTCTCATTTAGTAGAAAGTCTCTAGGCTAATTTGGAGGGCTGAGTTAGGGTTCACCTATAGCTGATTGTTTTACTCAGATTAAAATACAAATTTAAAAGACACAGACCTAAACCAGGGAGTAGCTGTGCTACAGTAACTCTTCCAAGTTCCTGCAGTCAGCACTGACTCTTCAACCTACACCTGTCCCAGTTACACCTGTTTGGTTTTAATACACCATTATCCTTTTGCCTTCTGAGCCACTGAAAAGTAATAGGGTTTAATTTCTAGGCCGAGTCTGGCAGGCAGGCAGAGGTTTGCCAGGCCTTTCCCTGTTCAGCAGTGGAATGTCTGTGTATTAAAGGCTCAAGTTCTTTTCTACATTCTCTCCTTGTCCCATTCTGAAGAAAAGCAGCAGCCTGCTGAGGCAATCAATTCCTCCTTCCCACCAGGCCATTGTTTAGCTTTCAAGCATTCCTGATTGATCTGCCCAGCGTTTGTTTGGCAAACGATTCAGTTGCATTGATTTTGTCTTGGTGTCAAGTTCTGCCTGAGGTGCATCTATAGAAAATAGCTTAAAATAACCGGTCCTTTTCATCAGCTGCTGGTTTATTCATACCTTTGATTTATTGCTCTCCCTGTATCCAAATGTAAACTGCATTTTGTGGGTTTCTCTTTCCATACTCAGCATATGGAACTGCAGTATTGTCTTGGTTGATGTTGTGAACGTTTACATGAGGAAATCTATTTCCCATCCCATTGCCTCTGCTTCAGACAAAATTAGAGAAGTTTCTATAAAAACAGTGTAACGTGTCTGCAATTGGAAATACTTTTGTATCAGCCAGAGATCAGAAGCAATAAGCACACCTTGGGAGTGCAGGAAAGCACAGGATCAGGTGCACATATCTATCTCCAGCTCTGTCTCACATGTAAATGCATCTCTGGAGATATTCATAATTCTAGTTCTGCTTGAGTTGTATTAAACACACATCATGAAAAGAAGGCATTCACTGGCAGATGAATTCAGTGATTTTTGCCAGCTCCTTGTGTTACTCATTCTTTGTTAGTCATTATAATAATCTAATTTCTGGTTATAACCCCAATATTAATGTTGTAAATTGGACTCAGGCAGGCAACCTCCTCAGAAAGGTAGTATTAAACAACGTCTAGACTACATTAGGATATCCTTATTAGACAATTGAGAACTAATTCTGACTTGCCAATACAACATAAAATCAGATAAAACACCTGTCTAGTGGCATTATTAACTAAAATTCTGAATTCATCAAACCATTTCACATAATGGAGTAACTCATGCTTTGCAGTCAACTGGGTAAAATACTTTTTTCCAGTTGTTGAAGTGTAAAAATAATTGGAGCCACATTCCTGCCACTGTTCCCAAACTGATCACAGAAACTGTGATCTCCATTAATAAAAATGGCTGAGTTGGGATGTTTAAATACTCATTTATTAACAGAAGAGAGAGAGAGAAAAGGGTAAAATAATCCCTCTATAGTACACTTCAACACTGAAAATCCCAAAGACACTGTTAAAGCAAAGTTGTCAGTTTACAAACTGAACAATCCTTTCCCATCAAGATTAGATCTGAAATGAAATCTCAAAAAATAAAAAGCATTAATTCTAATATTCTGTCCAACCATTGGTTAATGTACAACTCCTTCTACTTCCACTACACACTTCTACAGTGCAACACAGTACTCACGAAGTATTTGATCTCTTCTTGCTGTGAAATAATGACACACAATCATGCTGCCATTGTTATAATTCAAATTACCCTGACTTGAACATTCACATGCTATAGTTCAGTTTCCATACCAGCATAAAGACTTTCTTCATCAACATTTGCATTGATATTTGAATTTTTCTGTAAACCATGGCGCTGTACCTAACTGTAATGATAGGATCTTTCTTTACTTCTGCTAACTTTATTTTGAAGTTGGCATAACAAGATGGTTACTGTATCCATCAGTTATATAAATGAATAATACC